GAAAGACAAAAAAGTCTGGATAGTGGACACTGCAATAGCTGGAGACAGCAGAAGAGAAAGAACTGGAGAAAATCACAAAATATAAAGACCTATAGAACGACTATGGCAAAAGAAAGCAAAGATAGTACCAATAGTTATAGGCACCTTAGGTGCAATCCCAAAACAACTGGAGCACCACTTGAAGACCATTGGCATTGATAAAATCACCATCAATCAATTGCAAAAGGCAGCTTTACTTGGAACAGCATATATCCTGCAATGATACCTTTAATACCATCAAACAACAACATCTGCCTATCCCAGGTCCTTGGGAAGGACTTGATAGGTGGATAAAAACGCCAAATCCAGTCTAAACATCTGGCTGACTGTGCAACCAACCATAATGAAAATAATATTAATACCATCAAACAACAACATCTGCCTATCCCAGGTCCTTGGGAAGGACTTGATAGGTGGATAAAAACGCCAAATCCAGTCTAAACATCTGGCTGACTGTGCAACCAACCATAATGAAAATAATAATAAAGCAGGAAATGAAGCACTAAATGACAGCCTCCTAGCCTCTTTGTAGCAGCTGGGAAGTCTAAAGATATGACTGTCAGATGACTGAGTGAATAATCTGAGATTGTGTGCTTCCAGTACGTAAGGATAAATGAATTGTCTGTAGAATAAATTCACCAGATTGGCCATGTTGTCTGAACAGGACCATATAATGAATAGTGATAATGCCTTCAATTTAATTTTGGTTATAGATAAGACCTTGATACACAACTGATTAAGGGTCCTGGATAAGGATCCATCCAAAATGGCATCCAGCTTTCTTAAGGATGTCTAAATGACCATTTCAGTGTAGCTGTAAATATAAATGCCTGAAGTACATAAGTATCAGCAAAAGCTGTGTTTATGAAAATCTGGATGACTCTTTCTGGCTGGACTGCGATAATTAACTATCCATCCACTTTGTTGTCAACCTGTTCTTCAGACATTTCTCTCTCAAAGTTGAAGGTGGATAATCATATGATTAAAATGTATCCCCTATGTCCAGATTCTTGTGCTGTCTTTAATTAATAAATGGAACACTTTTGGATTGAATCATTTCAACAGGGAATGATACATTTCAATAGGAAAAAAAATGGAAAAATGTTGTATCCGTGGATCTGCTCCATTTCTTTTAAAAAGAGGGCAGCTTGTGAATCAATGAATCAGTGGAGGGAGGAATGGATGATCAACCCATCTTTGGAAATAAAATTAAGACCCTTTTACATCCACACCCTGCTGTGTGAAAGCAGTTTATTGACATCACAAACCATGTCTCTGTAATGTGGAGTACCACAGGCATTTGACCAACCTTGACCAAATGGATTTTCTTAATATCACATGAGAAAATTGTCCATCCATTCAACCTTACCTCCATGGTTACAACATGTGTACGATATATGCACACACATATACGGTGAAGAGATCTGTATAAACTGATCTAAATGTCGGGTTTTAATCCTTAAACATAATACTGCACTGTAATGCCCAGTTAAAGGTCTGTTGTGATTTCAATCTGATTTTAAAGTGTTATAAGCTGCTCTGAGAAAACTTAGTTTTGAAAGGTGACATAGACAATTTAAACACAAATAAAAATAAATATTTACCTGGGTATAATGGCTGCAGACAGAACCATTACATTTGGAAGGACATCTGGGCTTGCATTCATAGGGATAAGGAAAGGAGTAGTGCTGCTTCTCATAATACCAAGATTTTACTAGGTCCACCACTGAACGGTGCCTACAGAGGATCACACACAGTGTATGAATTATTCATTTCTTTTTATAAGAGAAACAGGAGTCCAACGTCCAAATCATTTGGCACAGGAAAATGGCAGTTCCCTCCAAATCCCCAAATCTTCCCACCTCTTTCTGGATGCACAGAGCATAATATGGTGTCACACCTGCAGCATTTCTCCCTCAGATCAGATGTAGGTATCTCTAGAACCTCCCCCTCCAGTACTAACAACTGCAGTTCCAACACAATCAGACAAAGAAACTGGAAAGGATCAGGTATGTGGGAGAATTAAAAGCCCCTGGGTGCCTTCCCCCCGACTCCCTTCTTGGCCCGCCCCCTTCATCGGGATGACTGAGCTGCCAGTCAAATAGCAGCTACCAATCAAACAGCAGCGTTGGACAGGACGTGGGGAGGAGGGGGAGGAGGAGAAGGGAAGACAAGATGGCTTCCAGGGACGTCTAGAGCAACAGGCCTTGAGAAGAAGAGGCTGAATAAACAGAGCCAAAGCCCAGGAGTCAAAGTAAAGAGGTAAACTAAAAGATAGACAGCCCTGATGAGAAGAGGCAACAGGAAAAGAGGCTGCAGCTGAGAAAACTGGGGAGAGAGAGGCGTTTATTTCCTTCCCTCAGAATGGCGTGAGATAAAAGTTCTTTGAGCTGTTTCCCTCAGATGCAGCAAACTTTTGGAAGATCAGGAGAAGAGACCAGAAGCCCAGCCAGGGACAAGGAGAAATGATGAAAAAAAAGGTAAAGAGCTTGACAGAAGTACAAAGCAGAAACTAAAAAAGAGTTTATAGAAAATAGCTTAAAAAGAAAATAGTTTTATTATTAAGATTCACTTCTACAATAGTTGTAGGCATTTATAATTTACAATTCCTTTTTCATTTATTTGTAAGCTTTTCTTTTTAAAAATAAGTGTCTCTTCCCCCCACCCCCCAGAAGTAGGAAAGGTAACATGCCATATCTACCTATTTTACGACAAAGAAGAAAAGACTAATGGGGAAAATGAAAAAACAAAAAGTCCTTTGCCTAACATAAACACTTGATTCCCCCCATCTCCTCATCACCCCTGCTCGCTCACTCTCGCACACACACACGCACAGATCACTAAAGAAGAATTTACAAACTGCCATTTATGAGGCTGTGGAAAGGAAAAGGAACAGGAAACGGGCAGAAGCGTACACAGGACTATGCATGCTAGACCCATGCTTCCCACAAAAAAGGCTTACCCTGCTCTGGAAGACTACAGTGTGGGCTCTGTGCACCCACATCACTCGTGTATACAGAGATCACAAAGAAATACATAATCAGAACATCCTAGTTGATTTATTTAGGTCATATAGGGTTGTATAGAGGTAGACCACATTGTTGATCTGATTTGTTTTTTAATAAAGCAACTTCTCTGGAATTCTGCAAGGGATATGGCTCCATTTGATATCACAAAACATCCAAGCATTGCCGGAAGATACTCCTTACCTGCCAGAGTGAATGGCAAGGTTTTGCCCAATAAATGTCATCAGTTGTGGAGGTCCATGTTCCCATATACACTGTTTTGCCCATGCTGCTGCAGATTTGGCTAGCCTCTCATCCCATACCTTCTCATGAGCAGTGAGAAAAATAAGAACAAAGAAAGCAACATATAACAGGCAGTCGGATTTTGCTCAAGATAAAATGTAGACGATTCATCCCCATGCCTTAGTTTTAACCTAATGCATGCTACTGGACAAAGGAAATATAGGAAACATAAAATAAGTATGTTCTGGAAGACAATGTTAGCTGAAGTATAAGATTTTTTTCTCTTTTGGAATCTACATTCCTTTGGGTGCAACTTAGCAAGGGACAAATATTTACAGTTGGCTGACCTAAAACTCACTCACTCCTTCCTTCCCTCCCTCCCACCAGGCTGACATAAGAGATTTGGGTCTGGATTGCTTGCTTACAGAGACCTTTTGAATATTAAGCTGAGAGTTGCAGGTAGCAGGTTGCCTATCTCTGGGCTAGAGGAGCATCAGTTATAGCAAGTAATATAACCCAACTTGAATTGCTTCATTTTAGGCTGAAGGAATTACAGTACATCCCTAATGTATTACTAATTTAAAATAATCTAGCATCTAGAAATCTAGTATGCCTGGACTTTTAGCACATTCACTTTCTTAATGCAAGCATACTTTATATTTGACAGAAAAGTGGATCCACCTGCAATTCACAGTAGCACAAAACTATTTGGATACCATTTAGTCAGCTCTTGAATTCTTCATTAATGGTCGTATAGCTCATTTAAATTCATTCTGGCTGTTCAGCAAATGTGGAAAGGCTGTGAATATGTACCACAGAACTATGTATACACATACTGTGGACAATAGGTTTTCTTTACTACCAAACAGGTAGCTGTTAGGCTATGTAAGGACATGATCAATCTCCTATTATACATGTCCTGAATACTCCTGACAAGTGAGGATTTCACTTGGTTATTTATTAGATTTTTATCCTGCCTATTATTTTTTATAAATACCTCAAGCAGATGTACATACATAATACTCCCTCCTCCTTTTTTCCCAACAACAACAACCCTGTGAGTTGGGTATGTAAGCCATTCAGGTGCTGCAGCACTATATGTGAATTGATTCTGTTGGAAAGTATTATAACAGGAGTATGTGAAAGTTCCATCCTTGGTACACATAAGCTTTATGTAATTGATACAGAAGAGGTCCAAGTGACCATCAGTTTCATCTACAGTTTCATGTAACTCTGATTGTAAATTAGATATCAAATCTTGGTATACATATGATTTCCTGTTTTGTCCTTGCTTTTTGTTACTTGCGCATGTGCCAAATGGTAAATGGGCTTTTGTGCATGCATAAAGTATGTTTTTACGGGTTAGGTCATATGTACAATGTATCTGTGTTCTTCCTTGTCATTATTTGGTCAGAGTGGATCTTGATAGGTCAGCCTGGTAACAAAGCTCCATGTGGTTTCCTTACAGCAACTGACCTTCTTCTTTGGAATGACTTGTTTGACTGGGGATAGAGGGAGTTGCCCTACTCATGCCATATGGCTCACATTGCTCATCTGCTCAGAGGAGCTCTTTCACAATCATGGTAGATCATGCAGAGACTACAGCAAGCTGTAAGTGGTCTGTAGGCTGCTTCAGTATCCAGTGACATAGCAAGCAGCCTTTCCACTAACATCATGAAAGACCCACATGGAGCTGAGAAACCAGCATGAACCACTTGCATAAGCAGGACAACTCCCTCTATCATCAATCAAGTGACTTGCTCTAAAAAGCAAGACCAGCTACTGTGAGGAAGCCATATGGGTTCTCACAATTGGGCTGATCCAATTGTGAGTGAGTAAATAAGGACAAGGAGAAGCAAATGCAGGTACATCATACAGGTTATCATCATGGGAGAAACAGGGAAGAAGAGAATGACTTAGGCTCCAATTCCCACAGACTTATGTTCTCATAATTTGCAATTCCATTATCTGCAGTTTTATGCTGAAATGGAACCCCAGCAAATAACAAAACTACCTGTACTTCATTTAAAAAGAAAAAAAAAACTCAGAACATTGATTTTTAAACTCTTTGCTGATGTTTTCTTAACTAAATTAGTGAATTCTTTCCACATATTTCTTCTTCCTAGGTAGGAATAGGAGATCACATAGGGAAGGAATGACATCACAGTGATGTACAGGCAATCAAGTTTGGCTGTGTCATGGCCTTATAGAAAGAAATGAAGTCAGAATAGTATGAGGGCAATGCTTCCTTGATAAGAAACATTGATAAAAGTGATCACAATTGACTGGAAGTTATGCACTGAACAAGATAATCCTAACGCCATCTATCCAAGAACCACCACCCCCATCTATGAAAAATGAAAGCCATGTTCCTTTGCAAGAAAATGCCTTCAAGCCATTTTATGTGAGTTTGAGAGAGGGAAGGAAGAATGTAAACATTTGAGCAGGCAGAAAATGTTCATACACAAAAAGAATAGAATCATAATTGCAAGCTGATCAAGGAGGTCAGTTTGAATACTTGGCCCCTGTGTTGTTATATGAAGCAGGTAGAAATATCAGCCTCAGTTTTATTTTATACCACAGATCCTGTTACAGAGATTGCTGAGTGTTAATGGAATTGCCTTGATCCATAATTGACAATTGCTTGAGTCATTATTATCAAACAGCAACACAGTTCATTTCCCCAGTCCATTTTATTACACTGTAAACAAATGCAGAGATTTCCTTTTTCCTCCACAGCACAAGACCATCCCACCATATTAGAGGTGAGCGCAATATGCAATTATTGTCCCAATAATTACCTGGGCACCAATTGATTTATCACAGGCATATGCTTTTAAATCATATGGACCTTTTGCAAGAACACCTGTTATTCTATCTCTAGCTCATTCCACAGCTATTCTACATCACTGCTTCAAACCTCATAAATATACAATCTGTGAATCCAGTGCCAGATATCAACAGCATATTCAAACAAAAAGTAGAACATACAATTCCAGATATGATTTTAAGACCTTAAACTGAATATGCAATGTTTTACCATATTACTTAATACAAAAGTTTCATAAATCCCTATGATAAGGTTCCTCTATCTAAGGTAAGAACTTTTCAAAGGCATAAGTCCTAGGTGATTACTGAAAAAGATGAGATACAGCTTATCCATCTTCAGAAATTCCCCTTGCTACTGAACTAGAGAAGATGCAAAAGTCATTGGCTTTTTTCCTTACCTAGCCACCCCCACTACAAAACACTACTTTAAAAAATAAATAAATAAATAAATAAATAAATAAATAAATAAATACACTGACTGAGTTCTCATATTTGACTAATATGAGTTTCATGCAATTCTGTAAGCCAAGCAAATGTTTTGTATGTTGCATGAACCAATTATACCACTTTTTTCTTTCTCCAAAGACCAAGTTGTCAGAACCAGAAATGACCATGAGATATTTAGGGACATAGCAACATGAGAAACTGCTTTCACTGGGACAGTTAATCTATCCACTGTGGGAAGGAAGCTTCCTAGGGCTGTTATAATTTTTATTATAGATTGACTAGGAAAAGTTGAAAAATGATGTTTTTCTACTGCACCGAGATACAGTGAAGAGTTCTGACAAAATTCTGCAGCCAGTGATCTTTAGCAAAGGAATCTTGCAAGGAAAAAAAAGGGGTAATTATCCAAGCTACAGTGGAATACCAGGACTGGTAATTAATGCAGAAAACCAGGTGTGTGAACTTGCTAACTGTTCTTATAATAACTTTGTATAGACTGGTACATCTTGTTTAGGTTACTGAAATAGTTTGACCAACTTTAAAAATAAAGCTTTGGGAAATTGGCAGAACTTTTGCACTGCACCTCAAAGGAGCTGTCCACCAAACAATCACATTTATTCAGCTATATGTTTTCTCAGTTACCAATGTGCTGTTTCTACCCACAAGTAGCAAGTACAAAGGAAACTCACCATATACTCCATGTTGGCAGCTGGAGGAGAAACTTGTGCCCGCACTTGATTGTGGTAGCCCAAAAGGGCGCTCATCTCCCTGGAAGAAATATAGCGTTTCCTGCGAATCTTTGGTACTCCAAGGGTAGAAATGTGTCTGGTGTCTGGGCTGCCAGAGGGGTATAGAAGGTCAGTAGTATTGGGCAGCATGAAGAAGCTTGATTTCTGTATCATCCAGAAGATTAAGCCACTAAAATATAACTGCATGTACAAAAGTGTCATTTTAAGATTTGCACACTTTTTCTCTAGAACCAATGTTTGATTTGTTTAATGCAATCAGTATGAAGATACCTTCTTTCTTCCTCCACTTTATGTATCTAAAATAAGCACAGACACTGTTTAATTTTTCATTTTACTGAAAACAAGATAAAAGAATGAAATTTGAAATACACTAGAGATACTTAAAAAGAATAGAATACAACTGTTTGGCTAATTTGAATTTATCAAAGCCCTAAGATTAGCTGTGAAATCTCTAGAGGTATTTTATTTATCAGTGCTGCTATAAAAGGAGTATGCCCCCACCACTCTATCTATCCCAAAATGATGCAAAATGCTCACATGTGCCTGCTAAAGCAATACTAATTAATAGCATGCTGCCAAATCAGTTTTCCCTCTGAATTCACAGGTACACAATTCATTGAGCAAACCTACTACATAAACTGAAATCATAGTAAGACAAAATGCAAAACAAGCAAAGTTTTAAAAAAAGTATGTTAAGAAAATGCAGAAGCTAAACATTATTATATATAGGGAGATAAAATCAGCTTTTCATTCTTTTTTAGCCCTAGAAAAACCTTATATTTCCTGATATTCCCCAAAGAAGCTAATAAGAGGACATTCCCCAGACTACGTACCTTGAAGGCTGTGCCAAGAACAGCTGAGAAATGTTAGTTGCTTCAGCAGCAGTTAACTCAAAAAGTGACCTTTACAAACAACCTGCACTCAGACACATGTGGCAGACAGATTTAACACAGCCAATTCCAAGAAGTCTCTGATGGCAATCTGACGCAAAATCTGCATCTGAACTCTTCCCTTGGGGAAAGTTCTAAAGACTGAGAAGTGCTCAACTGGGCAATTTATGACTCTTTCCCTGTGTACACATGGCTTTGTTTCTACCACGTATCTCCACTTCTTAAGAGTTATGGGATTGGGAAAGCTGCAAAGGCTATCCAATTAATACACTAACAGTACAATCCTATACTTGTCTACTTGGAGGGAAATCCTAACTTTAGGGAAGGTAGAAATTGGTCAGGAAAACTGGGACAAAACTCATTTTCATCTAGATTTAGAAAGAGTTGAAATCTGGCATGAACTCAGGTAAGGCATTTCAAACTGAAGGAATCTATATTCCAAATTCTTAGTTCATGGCACCACTACTATTCACCCTTGACTCCAGATTGATAATATTGAGATGAAAGAGCCTCACTACTGGTTTTGGAGTGATTGCATTGTTTACTTCATCTCTTTGTAAAAATTATCCATATTGATATCCCCAATGTACTGGGTTTACACAATACATTTGTTTGTGTCTTAGTATGCTCTGTGAACCAAGCCAGTGCAGTTTATAAACTATGCTTATAGCTTAACATGTTTTTGAACACTGCCAATAATTCTTAAGGAGAAGGATGCTGTAGCTCCAACCTATGATTAATTAAAGCTGATTAACTCTGCACATTATGTGAAATAACCAACTCTGGCATAATCAACAAACCATAGTTAACTGTTAACCTCCACAGAATCTTAAGGCTAGAGTCCAACTTAGAGTGAATCTTAGGGTTCTTTATCCATCTGATGCCTTGTAAATTTTTTACAGTGACCTTGTAGGTAAACCTCAAAGCCACACCCTCCCACCTGAAACAAGGCCTCTGGATGGCTATCTGTGGATGTAGTAAGAGCAGAGAAATATTGACGTTTGGCTGCCCTTGCTGCCATGAGTTAGGCCCTAATAGCATCTCTAACCCACGTTTGGTAAGATTCACCACTTGTCTTCCTCCAGCACCTCCCCTGGCATCTCTTCACCTGCTTCATCCCCCTCAACTCCTTTGTAAACCAAGGGGAGTTCTGGGGTCCCTGCATGAGGAGAGGCCACTTCAGTGCAATCTGATCCAGAACCCCAGCCACCCTCTAATTCCAGGCAGCCACCAGGACTTTGGACCCTGCAGCAGGCCCTCAGGAACAACCCAAGTTCACTCTAGGACTCAACTGGATCCATCAGTCACCTGGTGTGGACCAATCTAATAAGTCCAGCTTCCCTGCAGTGGTGGGCAGCAACAGAGAACTGCAGGGCCGCCAGAAAGTGATCTGACAATGACAGGGGAGAAACAGAAATCTCCCTCAGTACCAGATCACACTATCCTTGCTCTGACATGAAAACCAGCTCAGGTATATAACCACTATTATGTGTTATGCCCTGGATGACCTGGGACAGGCACATAGCTGTCATAGTGGCCATGAGCTACTGCAGATCCCATACCCAGAAAAGGCAGGTTCCCCATAGATTTGGGGAACTAACCAAGCAATAGAATCAAGGAACTCAGGCAGGGAGGATGCTACACAGCAGGAGGCTGGTACAGTAGCAAAAGTCCAAACTGAACCCTAGAGCCCAGCTTAACAAACAGGGTCTCACACTCAAGTACCTTGGATGACAGTCACCACACCTCCACCCCTAACCTGATGTCACACTCAAAACCCAGCCAGGCAAATCTCTGAGAGGGGACCCTATCCCCTTGAGCCAAGCCAGTTTCAGTAATGTACGCCAGATCAGCAATCTCACCAGTGAGCAAATCACAGATGAGGTCAGCCTTATTACAGACCCACCTGGCACTGATAATCTCTTTGAGATTATATCTTTGTCAAAATGTTAAAAGAGTTTCTTGCAGAATCAGTGCTAATATTCCCATTGACAAGCCTTATTTTTATGTAGAATAATTATAGTTTAAATAATCCTTTCTATGTTCCATCAGGTATAATTAGATTTATTTTTAAATAATTAATTCTCAATATTGTTTATTTTTTTAGCTGCAATGCTGGAAAATCCTGATGTATATATCGCTTTCCATTATTAGCCAGAGAAGACATATGTTCATTATTAATATGTGTTTCCTGTGAACTCCCTATCATTACTTTTTCTGTCTTCAGCAATATGCTGTCCTCGTTGTCTGACATTCTGGTTTGCCTGAATATGTGTGCTCACTCTTTCTCTTTTAACACTGGGCAGTTTTTAAAAGTTGTCAGAATCCTTTGAACTCTGTAACTTAACTCTACCCATTTCTACCCCTTTATCTTGTATTTTATACATTTTGTGTGTCTTTTAGGTATTTTAAATAACTCCCAAGCCTCCCCCATGAGGGACAGTATTATATATTATGATTTATGTCCTCTATTGGAAGATGGCCCAATAGAAGTTCAGGCAGGAGGGTGCATGCGACCAAGGCTTTTAATCCTATCCTGCAACATCCATTTAAAATTCTAAATGTACTTTAGTTTCCATTTGACTGAAATGGCCTGGCCTGCGAGGGGCCCAGCTCTGGCCGTCACTGCTGCAAAGCAAGCTGACTTGAAAAGCATCCTGTAATGAAGCTGTGTCTCAGGCACAGATTGAAAGCGCTCTAATGAGCAACCCGCCCCCCCCCCGCCAAATCTGGATTCCAGGAATTGGTAGGCTTTGCGTCCCTGACAGGTGTCATATGCTGCAGCCCAGACTGCCCATTTTGCCAAAGCACACGGTATCTGCAGAGAGGACCTTCCAGCGTGCCAAAAAGTACACACAATTAAACTGCTGTCAGCAAAGTAGAAATCCCAACAAATTGTCTCTAATGACTAGATAGACAGAGAAAGAGAAAGGGGAGATAAATGTTTGGGCTAACTAGGACCTTTCATACAAATATTAATCCTTCCAACAACACTTGAAAGGAAAAGCAATTTGGCTTCTAATATACAAGAGCTGGCAAGATCAGACCAGCCATTCCTGCTGAATCAAAGCAAAAGATCCATCTAGTCCAACAATCTGCTTTTGGGACAGCCTGACAGATGCTTCTAGAAAGCCTACGTGCACCAGGGCATGAAAGCAAATTTCTCTTTTCATATCCCTGTAGGAAAAATATATCTTCTAGAATAAATACATTTCTTTTGCAAAGCATGAGAATAATATAAGATTAAACTTCTGTATTCTGATAGGTAACCAGGGTAATTTTGTGTGTGTGTTCTTTCATGCCTACAGCTTTTTGGTGGCATCATTTCTCTGCATTTCACAACATGATTTGATTTCTGTGGATTTTCTAGTACAGTCAGAATCGGTGTTTGCATAAAGGCACTTTGCAGGGTAAATAAACTCAAATTTCCTGAGAATATTTGCAGGAACTTGCAGGGATGCTACAGTATGAGGATTCCTGCCCTGGGCAGGGGGTAGGAGTAGAAGATCTCTGTAATCTTTATTGATTTCATTTATTTTATTTTCTGACTCTAATCAAGACAGGAAAATTCTGTCTCCTGGCCAGTGTTTCTTCTATTAAAGCTAACTGACATCCTGTGATGAAGTATAGCCTGTGTGCACTCAAACCCCTGAAAAAATGGGGAAAAATTAATTGCTGGAGTTGTAAGAAACAGTGCAGCATGTGAGAAACTGGGTTAAGCCACAGTGGAGTTGAGAGGACTTGGTGAATTAGATCAGAATCATCTTCTTAGGAGCAGGCCAGTCAAGTAACTATTCAGAATCTAATCTTGGCGATGAACAGATGGTTACAAGAAAGTCAATTAATTAATCATGAAATTGTAACAAAAATAAACAAATGGTTAATCCCTCTGATAGCGTGTGATATGTTTCCATATATTTTGTACCTAAAATATGATGAAATTTTAGTTAGTACCTGGAGTAATCAAAGAGATAATACCACGGGGTAAAAAAGCTGATGCCAGGATATTTTGTATTTTTTATGAAAGGCTAGTGTAATGATAATACTCATAGATAAAGGATATTATTGTTAAAAAAAGTTTATCATCATCACCACCATCATAAATAATAATTACAATACACATTATGATCTTCAGATTGTTTATGTATTTTATCTTCTATCCAATACAATAATCCCATAGTGTAAGAGTTATAACCTTCAGTTAGCAAAATGCTGTCAGCATCTTCTGGTCACTGTCCTGTGGAGTCAAACGCACTATCACAGCCTCTCAGTTCAGGGTCAGTAACAGGATGCAGGTGACCTGCCTGGCATACCACTGAATGGCAGATGGTAGCTTCTCAACCAAAATCCTT